CACTCACACCAACCCAAACCCAGCAGAATGGAGCATGTGTGCACTCCAGTCACTGCTCGACAATAAATAAATAAATCTTTAAAAAAAACAGTATAGAACTCCAAAGGTCACGAGCAAGCAAACTGAGCCAGTAACAAAGTAAAGATGTGGTTTAATTAGAAATTATAGAAATTTAAACATTTTCAATTATCTATTTTATTGGAAAAAGTTAATTTAAAACATATACATTATTAAGAAAATACATGGTTTGGTAAAATACTGAATTTTTCATACAAGGATTGTTAAGGTTTTAACACTCTTCCCACAGTGGCACTTTTATTTTCCAACATGAACATTTGGCTTAGGAGGAGGGTCTCTGGTGCCCTCTGGTGAAACTTCACAAAACTAGGCCCCAAAAGTAACTCAGGACCTACAATTGACAGAAGAACTAAGTTAAATGGTAAAATTACTGCCATTCACATTTGACAGTTGTGATTTGTTGCCTTTTCCGTCTGCCTAAAGGAAAGGCAACCTCCTTTGCCACTGATGCTCGGCCAAGTTCACAGAAAAATAGTTTTCTTTTTCTTCCCAAGTTTTATTGTCATTGTCTTCTTATAAAAAAAAAAAAAGCCTGTCACCACTAGGAAAAATAATGTGGGAATGTCTCTTAAGTAATTCATGTTATCATTTAGACTAAGGGTGGGAAAGAGGGGCAGTTTACAGGACAGTGAAAATTATAGCTAAAGCTTAGAATGCAAGTAAGTCTTTTGCAATGGTCCCCAATTCTTGACCCAGGCACCATGACTTCAGTCAACTCTGTGTCTAGTTTCTGGGAGAATAAGACCTCTTTTCTCAGGTTTCAGGAAGCAGACCTAGTCCAGAGAAGAGTTATTTCTAAAAGTAAATATCAGCAGAGTCTGAGTTCATTCTCCAGGCCAAATACTTTGGACTTAAGGTTCTTCAGTTCTCCTTGTATTTTATGTGCCCGTCTATTGCTGTCACGAACTTCATACAGGATAGCAAGATCCTGGTTTGCTCGGGTATTAAGTGTTGCCTAGGGATTTGGATAAAAAAGAAATATTTATGGCATATGCCAGGGGTAAGAAATCAGTTGTAAAGACAAGGCTATGCTAGTTCTTTTTATGACATTTGTAAATCATGACAAATTCAATCCTTAGTTTGTTTAATGATTAACTGAAAGAAGGAAAATGTAGAGTAGAACCAAAACAGAAAAGACATAAGAATCTTTGTTTTCCCATATAATAGTAAAGGAACTTTGAGATAGAGATCAATAAACGAACAAAAAGAGACCCATATAAATAACAATATTGTAAGTTCACTAAAGAAGGAAAGAAAGCATCTTTTCTTCCTATAATTAACCTTATTCAGAACATAATCATAAAGGGTATGTGGATGACTGAATAAATCTCTTTAAGAAGGCTTTTGAGGCAACTTGGATTCTAAATAAAGCTGTGTCCAGTAGGGAAAAATGACTATATTACTCAATTACTAACTTTTCTCTCTGTAAAATAAGCAGTTGTTTTAATCTACTTCTAGAATTGGGAGGGATGAAACTTTCTATTAAGTTTAGCTCAGATGGAAGTAGAATGATGTAGTCGTTCAATTATTCCAGTCTATTTCTGTTTTCTCTCTAGCATGCAATTGTTAAACCAATTTTAGTGAGGATTAATGGATGGTGATCCCTCTAGGGAGCCAGCATGAAGGGAACAGTGTGTCTTTCTTCTGGGGAACCCTCTAACCATGTTCCCGCACTTGGATCTGTTTTCTCCCTTTTGGTAATTCAGGACCAGCAATTACCTTATAGACTATCTGCTCCAAGTCTTTCAGTTTCTGCCGGAGAGCCTTGATATCGGTCTTAAAGCCCTCCACTTCCAAGCAACGCCGGTTCTCCAAGGCCTCATAGCGCTTTGTCATTACCTGTAGACGCTTCCCCATTCTGTTAGTGCGATCCTAAATATGGGGGAGTGGAGAGGCATTTATGAAAAGGGAATCATTTCCCAAACCACTCACACATCCCACTCCACCATAAAAGGCAGGGAATTTTGTACCTTGAAGATCTCTCTCCTCACTCCCTCTTCCTCACGAATTCGAGCAAGTTCTTCCTCTAGAGATATACACTGCTCTTGGTACATATTGGAAAGTCTCTTCTCTTGTACTAATTTATCCTTTAGTGACTGCAGGTCAAAGGGGGGAGGGGGAAGGAGATATTCCAGTAAATACTTAGTACTACAAATTGGTTAGTTCAAATAGCATTTGAGTAAACAATGAATAGAAAACAAGAATTTCTTCAAGTATGAAACAGTTAAGGAAAAGCAAGGAATTTTGAAGACTATCTGAAAACCTCTTTTTTTTTAAAATGTAATAGTTTATTTTTACATCATTTGTACATTTCTTTATCTCAATTGTAATCCCCATGGGTTTCCCATCACCAAGTCACCCATGTGCCATTACCAGAGTCCTGTGCACTTCCCTCCCCCTCCCCAGTTTGATCCCATTCCCCACTCCACCCCCACAAAATGTCACTGGTATATGGCTGTTCATTATTATTGTTATTTTCTCGCCTGGTCCATTATACACCTGCTGTAAGTGAAACCATCAGTATTTTTCTTTCTCTTTCTGGCTTATCTCACTAAGCATGATCTTTTCCAGCTCCATTCAAGTTGCTGCAAAAGACATGTGTTTCTCTTTTTTGGTTGCTAAGTAATATTCCATTGTATATATGTACCACATCTTTCTAATCCAGTCATCTACTTTTGGGCATTTGGGCTGCTTCCATGTTTTTCCAATTGTAAATGAAGCAGCAATAAACATGGGGGTGCAGGTATCTTTTTGAATCAGTGTTTTTGTGACTCTTGGGTAGATACCTAGGAATGGGATTGCTGGGTCATAGGGAAGCCCAATGTTAAGCAGTTTGAGGAACCTCCAAACAGTTTTCCATAGTGGTTGTACTAGCTTGCATTCCCACCAGCAGTGCAGGAGACTTCCTTTTTCTCCACATCATCGCCAACATTTGTTGTTGCTAGTTGTTTGAAGATGTGCCATTCTCACTAGGGTGAGGTGGTATCTCATTGTGGTTTTAATTTGCATCTCCCTTATTATGAGTGATGTTAAAACATTTTTTCATATGCTTGTTGGCCATCTGCATTTCCTCTTTGGAAAACTGTCTTTTTAGCTCTTCTGTCCATTTTTTGATGGGGTTGTTTATTTTTGTTGAGTTGCATCAGTTCTCCATATATTTTTAGGATCAGTCCTTTATCACTGGTTTTGTGTGAGAAAATTTTTTCCAAATTAGTGGGCTGTCTGTCTGTTTTTTGTACTGTCTCCTTTGCTGTACAGAAGCTCTTTTTTTTTTTAAAGATTTATTTATTTATTCATATAGAACTGGAGTATAGGCCAGAGATGCGGAGGGTGAGAGGATTCACCAGAGACAGAGAGGGGAGCAGAACAGGCAGATCGTAGAAGTACACTGCTGAGGGGAGCAGCGGACGGGTCAGGAGAGGTTGGCCTCGCCATGTGGATCTCCTCCGGGGAAGGTGGGGCTTGAACTCATGTGGAAGTGGCTTTAGCTTCTTAGTGCTGTGCTTTAACCCGCTGAGCCACCAGGGAGGGCCCAGAAGCTCTTTAACTTAATGTAGTCCCATCTATTTATCCTTGCCTTCACTATCGTGGCATTGGGTGCTCTATCTTTAAAGATGTCGTGGAAGTGTATGTTGTGTAGTGTTTGGCCCATCTTTTTTTCCAGATATTTTATGGTTTCTGTTCTTATACCTAGGTCTTTAATCCACTTCAAGTTGACTTTTGAATGGACTGAGGTAGTGATCTAGTTTCCTTTTTTTACATGTAGCTTCCTAGAAAAACCTCTTATTTCTAAAGGATGCTATTTGCTCTTTTAAAAAAGTATACTTAGTAGTATTTGTCAACAGAAACTCTTTAAAATAAAGTATTTTTGGGCTCTGCTAAGAGTCAGATTATGGAATCAGAATTGTCCCAACTAGGACTTAACAATATTTGTTTTGGAACACATTTCTGAAGTATTTCTTTAAAAAGAAAGAAACATCAATGACAATACTGATTATACATATCCCATTAAGCAGTCCAATAATCTTTGTAAAACCTAAATCAAATATGTTTTATTATTACACATAATCCTTCAAAGACAAAACAATGTCTAACGCTAAAATTCACATTCCTTACCAAGACGGCCCTATAAAATCCTCACGATGGCTATTACCCAACCCTCCAACCTCCTGTGCACACTTCCTCTTTCCTTTTTCCTCTACGATGTTATGTTCTTTGAACATATTCCAGGGCTTTAAACTTCCTTTTCTCTCTACCTGGCTTATTCTCCCCCTAGGTTTATATAGTAAGCTTAGTTCCAATGTCTTGGAATAAACAAAATTCCAGATTTAAGCAGTATTCCGGTGCTCACCCTCACAAATGGGCTACCAGCAGGGGGCCTCCTGGTCTTAGTGCTATCATATTATCACTACTGCGTGATCTGAGTTCAATTTCCAGCCTGGGAGCTGACCCACATATGGCACAGACCATTCCTGTCTGGCCTACTGCTCCCCTGAGCAGTATATTCCAGTAGATCTACCTGTTCGGCTCCCCACTCTGTCTCTGGTGAATCCTCTCACCCCCTACGTCTCTGGCCTACACCCCAGATCTTCTATGTATAAGTACATAAATCTTAAAAAAAAATGTAGACTTGGCCCTCCCTGGTGGCGCAGCAGGTTAAAGCACAGCACGGAGAAGCTAAAGCCGCTTCCGCATGAGTTCGATCCCCGCCTGCACTGGAGGTGACCACATGGTGTGGCAGACCTCTCCTGGCCCGCCCGCTGCTCCCCTCAGCAGTGTACTTTGTCGATCTGCCTGTTCTGTTTCCCACTCTGTCTCTGGTGAAGCCTCTCGCCGCCCCTGAGCCTCTGGCCTGTACTCCAGTTCTGTACGCACAAATAAATAAAGCTTTAAAAAAAAAAATGTAGACTCCTGTGGGGATTACAATTGAGATGGAAAAAAAAATGTACAAAATGATGTAAAAATAAACTGTTATAAAATAATAATTAAAAAAAAAGGGAAAAAAATGTAGACTACCAGCAACTATATATAATCTTCACATAATCTTTTTAATACTTAATACCACTTCCTAATAGCCTATCACAATCTTGGTTATTTGCTGTTTCTGTTCTTTCTCACTCATTAAAATGTACGTGTCATGAAGGCAGACTTTGTCAAGCTTATTTATGGCTGTAACCTCAGAGCCTGGCCCAGAGCAGAAGTACAATAATTTCCTGCTGAGTGAATGAATAAATGCATAATTTAGTCCTTAAACACTATAAAAATGAGCTACTATTTGAAACCTATTTCTTGAGATTACTGCTACAGCATCCTGAACTAAATGAATCTTGCATGATAATTTTTATGTTCTTTTACTCTCTGAGTTCTTTCAACTCTTCCAGAAAAATAAACAATTCCCACTAAGATATAAAGAAAGTACCTTGATATATTCATTTTGGCTATGATGGCTCTCATGTGAAATGTGCCCAACTCTTCCAGTTTTATCTTCTTTCTTCTTACACTGTGCCCTATACTGCTTAATTTTTGACATCAAATGATCCTTTTCAAGCATCCATGACTTCTCTTTATTTTGGTTTTCAAATCGGAGTTGCAGGAAGTCTTTGGTGCTCTCAAAGAGCAGTTCTTGGGTGTGATGGAGACTAGGAGACAGAGTACAAAGTGGATATGAAGATGCTTACATAGCACACCTGACACATTAAGAGTTATTCCCCCAGGAAGGGGAGATAACAAGTTCCCATGCAACCTGGGGCCTCCCTGGTGGCACAGGGGTTAAAGTCAGCACTATTGAACTGTTGGCAGCCACTGCAGCCAGAGCTGCATCCCTGGCCAGGGAGCTGACCCACATAAAGCACAGACCTCTTGTGTCCCACCCACTGCTCCCCTCAGCCGTATATTTCAGTCTACCTGCTGTCTCTGGTGAATCCTCTCACCTCCTGCACCTCTGGCTTGTACCCCACTTCTTATATGCAACAATTAAAAGACCTTAAAAAGATTGCTAATAGTTTTTAAAATGCTTAATTTGATCACTGGCAATCTAAATCCTAGTGGACAAAATGTAAATGTCACACAAGCTCATTCATTCCCAGACTGGCCTTTGCAGATGCTTTCCTGAGTGCTAACTGCAGGTGAGAGAATTAAAAGGACTACAGAAATATTTCCAAACAGCTTGTATAAGTATGAACTAGTTATAGTGATTAGACTTCACAATATCAATTATGCCTCAATAAATAAAGAACTAAGTCATGTGTTCTGACTGAGGATTAAAGTAAGTTCTAAAATGTCAAAAACAGCTCTGCTTTTGTTTATGCTGTGCTCTACATGGAAGTTGCAGGATATCAAATCTTGTCCTTTTTTTTCAAGGTCGACTTCCTCTATGAAGTCATCTCACCATTAAGCCTACTGGGAAATACCATTGTTCTGTTTTGTTTTTTAATATTTTAAAAGGACAGGTTTATTAGGAAAAGGGGAGCATGAAAAAGAGAGATACCTATACAGACACAGGTGGGCAGAGAGCTTAGAAAACTACATTCTCTTAAATCCTTATCAGTTTAAATCTATTCCTGTGTTGTAATTCAACACTTGCCTACGTACTATATCATGTTTTAACTGCCAACATGCATGTTTTCAAGTAAGGCTATATCTTACCATTTGTATTTTGTCTCATTCCCACCAGATGGTCAAGGACAGTACCAACTACTGGACTAAATGAAGGCACTACATAAATTCCTACTGACTATTTCTTGAGATTTAGGAATAGCCAAGCAATATTTCTATCCCTAGGAGTTAGAATATCATGAATTTAACACCAACACCTAGAAAAATACTGTATCAAATAACCAAACCACTTGCGAAGACTATACATACTGAGGCAAGGCAACCATGGTAGTTTTCCATTGAACAAATGCCAGATCCAATCCAACTTAGTTCTTTTCATGAGCAATAAGGTACACAGGTAAGGAGGCAGTGATAGCATACTGCCAGGCACAAGGCAAATGTCACCACATGACTGTGTGTGAGTCCTGATTCAGTTACCACAGGGCTCTCTCTTTCAAGTAGTAATTTTATTCTCCCTACAATTATGCTCTCAATTATAAACTGGGAAAGTATGATCTTCTTAATGTACAAAAGGTTTGAAAGTGACACGCAAAATTCAATCATCAACAGCCTTGGATTTCAAGCCATTCAATATCCGTAGGATGACCTAGCTAATGGGAGGGCTGGCCATGTGCTCAGCTATGTAGGTGATACTAGACTATAAATGAATGACAATTTAATATTGCTCCCACAAAATCGGTTACAATTGAAGGAAAAGTGAAAATGCCATGCTTAAGGGCAAGATACCAAAAATGAAAATGAAGACTGAAAAGAACTGATAAATGTTAACATGTTAAGAGCTTTTAAGGGTCAGAAATTTTAATCTGAATATCACTTCCAATTTTAATCACTGTACTCCCTGGTTGGGATCGAACTCAGACCACAGTGGCTGGCAACAGCTCAACAGTGCTGAGACTTAACCCCCGAGCCATCAGGGAGGTCCCATGAATCACTGCACTTTTAAGTGAAGGAAATGGAAGAGGTTTGAGGAGACAGTAAGATAAAGGGATAAAGAATGTAAACATGAAAAAAAAATTTATTTTAGCAATAAAATGACTGTTTTATAAAGTATTTAAAGAAAACTTAAAAGTTTCAAGTTTTAGGGCCTTCCCTGTGGCGCAGCGGGTTAAAGCACAGCACTAAAAGGCTAAAGCCTGCATTGCTGGTGGGAATGCAAACTAGTACAACCACTATGGAAAACTGTTTGGAGGTTCCTCAAACTGCTAAACA